GGGGCAGGGCGCGGGGGGAGCAACAACAAGGTCAAACAAAAGACTTTACTAGCGCACGGAATGAGACTGTTAATTATAATAATAATAATAAAGTAGGACAGTCCAAAGTAGACTATAAGGCAACAAAGATCCTGGAAAGTTTTGTTGTTGTGTTTAGTTTATATTTTTTTTTTAATTTTTTTGTTATTGTTTTATTTTGGTTATTTTTTCCTCCTCTCCTGGCTATTTATTTGTTTGGTATGAATAGATGTTTTAAATAATATGAACCGGACCTTCAAGAGCCTTAAATCGTTTGTTTCTTGGATAATTTATTATTATCATGTGAACTGTACTCACAGGGGCAGAGATTATTTTGTGAGGCCAAGCAACCTGCTCAGAGTCTATTTTTCTAATGTCCCTCGTCCTGACTTTCAGAAAGCAAAATTCTGTCCTTTTCATTCCTCCTTTGCCACGCTCCTGCTTCTCAGCAAGTGTGAACTGAAACATGCTTCATGGAGGTCCACAAATTATATTTTTATACACAGAATTGTAAATTAGATTTTTTGAGAGATCAATACTTAACTGAATTACATTTCATTTTTTGAAACAGTGTAAAATATGAAGATATATTATTTTAATTTAACTAGATTCCAATGTCACAGCCATCTCCTGTATTGTCCTCATGGTTTGATGTTTGCTTTACAAACACCATTATGGCCACATTCTTGGAAGTCAAGACTGTTACACACTCTCTCTCTCTCTCTTTTTCCTTTTGGACAGACTGGAAAAACTTTGTTATTTTTAACTTCAAAGAATTTATTAGAAAATAATATTTTTTAAAAGCGCACATAGTGATGAGTCTGCAAGGATGGAGCCTGTAGTTTGTACAGAGAAAAACAAAGGATGTTTTTGCATTAATAAATTGAGAAATAACTGCTGTAAATTTACTAAAATGTATTTTTGAATATTTTGTAATAGTTTTAATAGTTTTATAGAAATAAAATGTGCCATGCACAGACTGGTTAGTATATAATAACTAAGAATTCCTGTTGCAGCCCCCTTTTTTTTTTTTCTTATTTGGCTTCTGTGTTTGGGAAATCTCTTGCTGACAGGAGTTCCCGATATTATATTTAGATGTGTTGCTTATACTGTGAATTCAGATAAACTTAAGTAGGTAACCAAAGTAGGTAAACAAACTAACTTGTTTATTCTCATCCCTGGAGAGACCTCAGCTCTGATTGTATTTATGTTGTGAAGTTGTTTCTACACTCCCAAAGGTTGGGTGTGCTGTATGTGGGCACAGTGTGCCCCCACCGCCACCCCTTAACCTGAAAAGCCTACTCTGTGGGCCTGAGGAGATGGCCTGGGATGGTCACCGGGAACTGCCTCCCTCTGCTCCCGTCTGTGTAATTGTCAGGCAATGTCATCCCTTCGCTTCTTGCTGTCCCTGGTGGACACTGCCCTCAGCGCCACCCTCACCACCCTTACCACCACCTGTAGAGAACTCACTTGGCCTCGCTGCCCTGCGGTGCTCCATGCCACAGCCCTTTTCAGAAAGGGGCTCCAAAGAAGAGGGCCGCGTGTTGCATCTTCTCTGAATCTCCTGTCCTCTTTTATTGAGGATTCCCCGAATCCACATGGAACATTCCCTTTGGAGTCCGTGTGTGCTCACCACCGGCCCCCTCTCCCCGACCGTCTGTCCTGGCTGCTAGAGTGTCAGGGCTGCTGGGGCCTAAACCTCAGGTCATGCTGCATGCCTGATGCTCCGTTATAGGTTTAGGCAGAGGGTACTCTGCCGTCAGCTATCATCAGGAGCACGGAGAGTGTGCCAATCCAAGTTCTTTGGCTTATTGTGGATGTTACTGTCATGCTTTGTGCTTTGAGCCAAAATCCTTTAGCAGCTTGGGCTTGGGAAGCACTGGAAGATGAGTGTACTTGGAGCCTGTGTGGAGGCTGTCCCTGTCCCGGGAGCAGGGACTAACCTGACAGTTTCTAGGCAGAGTTCAGCCCACCTCAGGCAGGGTCTGCAGAAGCTGCTCCTGAGGTAGGCCTGGGGTGGCCTCGGCAGCGAGAAACACTGGTCTCTGAGGGGCTTCTGTGCCAAGGATCTGGGCTCATGTGGCCTTTTCCAGGAGGCCACCTCCCAGGGTGGGTGGTGCTGGGTTGCATCAGCCCCTCCTCCTTATTCTTTGTAGGTAGAGAAGAAGAGGCTTTTCACAGGGTCAGGCTCTCTAGGCAGGAAAGATCTGCTTTTCTCTGTAAAAAATCTTTGCTCCTCTAGGTGGGTAGCATGTTTAAGGCTGGTGTTTAAAACCTCTGTTGGAGTCTGACGGCTTCTAGGCCCTTGGTATCCATCAATTTGCTGATTTTAAGTTAGTTAAAAATAAATCAGAAACACTGGACAAGCAAATAGTCTGACTCATTAGCAGTGTAGCCTCCTTGGTCTAAAGAGAGAAGTCAGTCACTGAGGAAGCAGAAGTTGTCAGTGGCAGTGACAGAGTTCTCCTTGGCTGGTAGGGCTCCTGGGAGCAGGGCCCTACCCAGGCGGAATGTCTCAGCTCAGAGACCCACCCTGCAGGCAACTGGGCCCTGGGGGTAAGCGTGCCCTCTTGACCAGGCGTGGTGGCGGTGCCCTCGCACCATTTGATCCCCGGGCCTTTTCCCTCTTTTTTAAGACCCTCCACAGCTTTATTTTAAGAATTCTCTTTCATCGTGGGCAATGGAAGGGCTTCGGGAAAAGAAGCCACCTTGTCAAGAAACTAAACACAAGGACTTGAGCAGCTGCAGCCCACTCCAGCCTGGAGGAAACCTCACTTTTCCATCTCTCTTCAGGGTTGCCGATGCCAACGGAGTGTGTAAAATGTATGTGTGGCGGTGGCTGCCACCCTCCCTCATGACTAAATACATATCTATTCCTGTCAAAAACGTGTATTGGAATGTACTTGAAACTGTTGTCTTTGTGCTCTCTTGTTTGAATAATTAAAGAAATTACAGAGACTCTCTGTGATGTCTGTTATGTGGCAGAATTCCTATCCCATACTGTCACTGTGTGTCTCGTTTTCTTCCACAAGGTTGTGCTGAAAATGTGAAAGAAAAAATCTCTTTGAGAGCTGGGCTTCACCTCTCTCAATGGATGGGTCTACCGGGCTGTGGGAATTCTACTCGTCCAACAAGGCACGTGACTCATAACCTCTCCTGGTTGAAACCCTCTGCTGCCGGCATTAGGCCCACGTGGGAAATAGTGGGCAGACATGCAGACAAGGCCAGTTGCTTGCAAGATTTGGCAAGAAATCCACAAAGCGCCTGCTAGTGGGCCAGACAGTGGGGTTGGTCTCAGGGGGTGACCCTCCCATCAGGCATCAGGGTTTTCAGGTGACGTTGGAAACGTTGCCCAACCCATCCCTCCTTAGAAATCATCCAGTCAAGGGGCTCAGGAAGCCCAGGGCAGAGACTCTCATACGCCTTCTTACTAACAAATCACAAAGTACTTCATGAGCCCAGGTGTTTGCCCGGCACTCTTCCAGGTGTATCTTCTAGGATATATGCCTGCTTTTGTACAGCCCATGAGCTAAGATTGGTTTTTACATTTTTACATGGCTGGGAAATAAGTCTAAAAAAGAATAACATTTCATTACATGTGAAAATTATATGAAATTTCAATGTTCATGAATAAAGTTTTATTGGAACACAGGCACTTCCATTCATTTATGTTTTCTCTGTGGCCGCTTTCACATGACAACAGCAAAGTTGAGTGGTTGCAACAGAGACCACATGGCCCACAAAGCCTAAAATATTTACTGTCTGGCTCTTATCAGAAAAAAGTTTGCCAACCCTTGTTCTAGGATCTTGTATTGAAAGCAAGTTTGACATTTGGGGCCAGGGGGCGTGGGCCAGGAGCTGAAAAAATAGTGGTATGTTATACCATCACATATATTTTCCAATTAGAATTCAAAGGGTCATAGTCCACCCTCAATCCCACTCCTTACTGAGAGCCACAGGGGACCTCAGGAGGTTAATGAGACCAGGGAGACCTGGTCTATAGCCATTTCCACCTGGTGGTCTGACAGGTAAACTTTAGTGCTAATCAAGTGCAAGCTAAACCAAAAAGAACAACGTTTAAAGTAGCAGAGTTACGGTGACAGAACCCTGGGAGAACAAAAGGCAGCTAGACGAAGCCACACCAAGTCAACTCTCCCAACTCTGTGAAAATCACCCCATAGTGGGAAAATAGGAAATCTGGATTTGGAGATAACTTTCTTTTCTTGGCCAAGCTTGATTTTCTCCAATTAAGAAAAAAAATTAAATAGTTCACATTTTACTATTAAGCAAGCACTGGCCCTTATTACAAGGAGCCATGAAAAATGGATGGGAAGATTACATTTTAGGTGATATCTCAGGTTCTCAGGATGAGGGCAGCTGTGCTTCCAGAAGGAGGTAACTGGTTTAAATAAGAGGGCTGAGAAATTTGAAAACTAAAGACAAATGAGAAGAGATATTGTGCCAGAAATCGAAGGGAAACAATTCCCCAGACAACAGAAGGAAGTTCCTGGATAAAGTCCTGTATCTCAGGGGAAGACCTGAGCTTTTGCTTAGGAAGCTGACACCCTGGCCCCTGTATCCCAGCCCCTATCCCAGCTGGGAAATTCCCTTCTCACAGAGGCAAGGATAGCCCAGAGATTCTCCAAGGCAGCAAAGCAAACCCAGTGGCTTTGAGAGGAGCCCTTAACTTCACAGCTCCCAGGTCTGCCCACCCCACCCAATGGTCCAGCTCATAGAATCGCAGCTGAAACTTCCAGCCAGAATTGTGCCCATCTCCCCAGTTCAGCACTGGATCACTCAACAGACAGGGCTTTAGCAGGGTGCAGGCTCCAGAAAACACTGGCAAGTGTGGTGCTGTGGTGATTTGATATTTGCTAGTTCAAAGAGCATCGTAGCCAACCTGGAGAAAGTCACAACGTGTTGAGTTTGCTCACAATGGCTTCTGGGTTTCACAAACCAAAAAACCAAATCCACTGCCCTCCAGTCGATCCTGACTTATGGCAGCCCCATGTGTTACAAAGTAGACTGCTTCATAGGGTGTTTTTTGTTGTTGTTGTTTGTTTGTTTTTACTGTAATAGAGGGTCGGTGAAAAGAGGGAGACCCTCAATGAGATGGACTGATATAATGGCTGCAACAATGGGCTCCAACATGGCAGTGATTGTGAGGATGGCACAGGATTGGATAAAGTTTTGTTCTGTTATACGTAATGTCACTATGAGTTAGAGCCAACTTGATGGCACCTAACAACAACAATCTTCATGGAAGCAAATCGCCAGGCCTTTCTTCCATGGTGCTGCTGGGTGGGTTTGAACCTCCAACCTTTAGGATAGCAGTCAAGCACAAACTATTTGCACCGCACAAGTACTTATCTCTGGGTTTATTATTGTTACATCATTGTAGTTGCTACTGTTCTGTGACATATATGGGAAGTCCCAGTTATCTGTCCAGCGCTTAGGGCCTCCGGGGGCCTGAAATGGCCCTTGGCTCTGCTTTCTGCGTGTCAAAGTTCCCCTATGGAGGGCATTCTCCCGGGGCTCTTTGCTGCTCACTTCTGGAAGGCAGGTTCCTCCGACCAGAGCAGGACTGGCCTTCCTCCCCGGGGTGCGCCGCAGAGCACCCCATCCACCACTAGCAAAGAAGGCAGTCGACGAGCCTTCACTGCTATACATGCATCTGAGCTAGTTTCACCTTGGGTTTTTGCACTTACAGGAAAACGGATACCCTTTCTGCCTTCCGGCCATCTGTGAATTCACAAGCCCAAGAGGTACTTTTGGAATTCTCCTGCCCGGCTGAGGGCTGCCGGCTCCCAACCAGGGACGGGGGCTGTCACTCCCGGCACCAGCGCCACCCCTAGGTGCAGCCCC